CCCCAAAACCCCAAAACCCCAAAACCCCATAAGAGGGAACCAGGCTGAATTATTACTAATAAATATTGGCTCTTTGAATGGATAAAGTAGGGAAGATTCAAGCTGCTTTTAAGCTGAAAGAACATCCAGATATCTCTCCAGATCTTCCTTTGAATAAAAAATCTGAGGGTCTGCAACAAGAGAAGTTGGTCAATAGCCCAAAGGCTGGTGAAGAAATTGAGGAATTGGAGCAATTAGAGTTGGCCGAGCCGGAAAGATGTGAACAAAATCAGGAAAATCAAGAGGATTCTGAAACCCTTAAGAGTGGGCCAGGAAAGAATTGCAAAGAAGTTAAATGTGACCCTAATAAGTCTTGGATACAAATTCCTTCAAAAGATATGGTAAGATCTTAAAGCTATGGCTGGTTTCATTCAATGCCTTATACTTTGTAGATGAAAGAACTGTTTGAAATCTTTTGCTCCGAGAAGCAAACAAATAATATGAAATCTAACGACCAAAACACCCCCAACGAAAGAGTGAAGCAATATGAATGTTTCATTGATGCACAAAATGACTTCTTCTTGGTTGTTCCAGAGAATACCACTCCTTTACCATGGGTTAATCAGGCAAAATTAAGTTCAAGGCATACACCAACAAAGTAATAATTTAGAAGGGAAAAGGAAGAAGGAATACTCAAAAGTGCCTAAATATCTTAAACATAAAATAAAAAAGACTTCAGAATCTCATAGTGAGAATGCTTCCCAACAATATTCCAAAGACAAGAGCCAGTCGATTTTGAAGGAAAGCTTCTCTAAGAACTCCTTTACAAGAGATACTCTACAAGGAGGTATAAGTTCAGATCAGATTAAAAATAATACTAGATCGGATTCAGAGAAGAGTGATAGTGACAAAGATATGAAACCTGAAGAGAACTCTTTACCTCTCGAGAAGGCCGTGAACTTCAAGGATAGTATCAACAAACCTCAGACGGTAAAATCTCCATCAGGATGAACATAAAAGTTGTCCAAGGTACAGACAAAGGCTCTCAGAAAGAGACTAATAGTTGTACCCACAACCAGGAGACTTGCAAAACACAATCCACCGAGGAGCCCTCTTTAAAGAGGCAATTCTCTTCACAGACTGAGAAGAGAGATCTATCTGAGCCTCAGCTTTTCAGGATCAAAGGTACAGATGCTGTCATGAGATCCCAGAAGAATGCTTCTTCTCAGACTAGATCTGAACAGCTGGATACTGGTGGAAAAAGCGGCCTTGAAGGTCCTGGATGCAACTTTAAGCCTGATATGAGCCATGTGTCATCTCACACAGAAAGTATCGGTGGCATGAACACTACAAACAAAGGCGAGATGAGTAAACAACATACAACCTATGCTGCCAAAATTGCTGATGAGAGTGAACAAGTCAGAGACACTAACAAGCCTTCATCACAACCCCAAGAAAACCCAAAGTTCATTTTTACTAAAATGTTTATCATAAAAGGGACTGATACAACAAAAGCTAGGGAAATTGAGAATCCAAGGAGCTTACTCAAAAGTTGTCAGAAAAGGAAAGCTACTACTGAAAATGAAGAAATGAATAACCCTGACACCTTAATGAAGCCTACTTATTCAAGAAAGCAGTCTGAGCATTAGAAAGTAGAGTTTTTGAGAATTGGAAAATTAGTCATAAACTCTGGAAGAAAACTATTAAATTTTCATTAAAAATGCATCTAAACCCTATAGAGTTGTACCACTGGTTTAAAACTTTCCCTTCTTCATGGGTTATCAAAACCCCGAATATATCTCAATTTTTATGAAGTTCCAAATGAGGGTATGACTAGTCAATAAGTAATTGAGATTACATGGGAAGGAATCTCTAGTTCAGATACTTATTGGTTTAATATCAATACACTCTATTAAGCAATATAATATGGCCACTTGTCCCTCCCCATTGCTTACTTTTGGTTCATGAGCTCATGAAGTTCTTTGCTCAACCATATTCAGAATGAGATGCTCCCAAGTGAAATTCAAATTCAGCATCGCCACTTGTAAGATCGTTCATGAATACTTTAGTGCCGAATCGAATGTCAGAATATCTGTGGATTTTGTGACTTATTTGAAGATCACATATTTTATCTATAATATTCTCAATACTTTAACTTTTGAAAGCACCAAAATGTTATTGACATATTGTACAGAAAGCGTAGTAAGAGGGTTATAGCATGTATGAATTAGCAAGAGCAAAATCAGCCTTGCCAATTTCGACTAAAACCACGAAATTATGCCCCCATAATACATCTAAATATACGTAACCTAAATTATTTCAACTTGTGCTACTGACATGGGGTTTTGGGGTTTTGGGGTTTTGGGGTTTTGGGG